ATATATATGACAGCAACCCTGTTATATCATTAAACATTTTAGGGAGAAAAATCAAAGAAGCAACATTTTAGGAAGTAAGGTCTAAGGCATACTAGAACATCTACTTCAAATGAGAAATTAGATTCATTCATAGGAAAATGGATACATTTTGAGGACATACTCCTAAGTGAAATAAATAAGTCACACATGTGTAATACCGAATAGTTTCTCTGGTGTGAAAAATCTGTAATAGTACACAAGATCCTAATGATATAATTGACAATGTGAAATAGGAAGAAAATGGCTAAAGGTGTAGGGAAACTGGGAAGGGTAGAGGAAAGGGAATAAGGGAAAAGAAAAAATATGATTAAATGAAAAAATAGAAATAAAGTGTTTGTAAATGAGGGGGGGGGTGAAGGTAGGGCAGGAGTATAGGGAACAAATGAGAACCAAGACTTGTCATGTAAAGGTACAAGATCCCTAAAATGTACCAATAAACTCAAAAAAAATAAAGGACAGAGAGAGGGTGTGGCTCAGTGGTGCAATGTTTGCCTAGTATGGACAAGGCCCTGGGTTCAATCTCCAGAATGCTTTCCTCCCAAAATAAAGGACAGATGATTACATCTTGCTCAGAGCACTAAGAAGGAAGCACAAAGTTTGCTAGGCCTGTTTGGTTCTTGAGACTGAATACTCTAGCCTGGATATAGGACTCTAAGCTGTAAAAAGTACTGTGTGTGTTTAGATAAAACAATGTTATTACAGAAAAAAATTGCTATTATTTCTCCCTGAAAATATTATTTCTCCCACTCACTTCAAATGCATACCACCATTCTCACCCCTTTTATTTTTTATTAATTTTTATGATTTTTATTAGGGCATATTTGCAGTTCTTAATGACTACATACATTGTAGGGAGTTGATATATGTATATAAAACACATCTTAATTCTTTTTACATCCCCTTCCCTCCCTCCTTCCTCCACCTCTTGGTACCCTTAACATTTACAAAAGATCTATATCCATGTTTCCTACTGCTTATCTTTTATTTTACTCCTTAAATTATTTATAGTTTGAGCTTCTCATATAAAAGAAACAAATGTGATATTTAAGATTGCATGTCTGGTTTATTTCACTCAACATGATGGTCTCGATAAAGGATAAATTCGAGTCATTCATTGTTGCCACTTTCTGAAGCAGCTCTGGAAGGCCTCTTTCATGAGTTTCTTTAGTTTCCCTGTCATGGCTGCATTGATGTATTGATCTGGTTCAAAACATTTACTTTTCGTGGTCATTTTAATTTTGGGGAAGAGCCAGAAGTTGCATAATGCCAGATACAGTAAACAAGGCAGATGAGGACACATGTAGTGTTTTTAAAAGCCTGCCTTTCCTCTAGATGGCTTTTGATAGCAGCATTCACTACTTTTAATTATACTTCATAAAGACACTCATGAAAGAGCACGTCCAGATCTGCTTCTGAAAGTGGCAAGAACAATGGGATAAGTGTATCTGAAATGAGGGGACTTTCACTGTAATAAATTTTTCAAAATGAAGGACTTACTATAGTTTTTGATTGCCTTGTGTTCACTGCTCAAATAGGAGGGCACCAGCATTGAGTAGGAACTATATAACACGTCTTAATTCCTTGCACTGGAATTAAGGAAATCCAGCAGAAGGAAATCACTTGCAGCAGGTTCAGAATGCAGTGTAATGTGCCCAGAAGACTGTAAGTTACAAAACATATCTGTGATGTAAAAAGATAGGGAAACCACAATAGAAAGTGTGGAGCCATGCCACCTGAAGCAAACAAGTATGCACCATCTCAGTGTATGCTGTTAGGTATAGCATACTGGGTGCTGGTTGTGTTACTGGCTCCTGGTGCTGAAAAGCCATCTGACCACAAGACATCAAGAGACTGTGTGGTGAGAACTTTCCCTCCTGAGCCACCTTGTTGCAGACCCGTCACATCATACAGCCAGACAGCCCAGCTGCAAACTCTTGTAAGATGAATCAGTTATAGGCAGTTGTGACCACAACCATGAAAACATACTCAGAGGTGGCCCAAACTTTGACATCATTTTTTTCAGGCTGGCCCTGAGCTCACTATGTAGCTCAGGCCGGCCTCGAACTCACGGCAATCCTCCTGCCTCTGCCTCCCGAGTGCTGGGATTACAGGTATGAGCCACCACACCCAGCTACCTTGATATCATTTATCACTATTGAATTGACAACTCTTTCTCAGCTCACTCCTGTTATTTATTATGGGTGGTGGGATTCCCTGTTGATGAAGAATAAAGGAGAAAACTATCTGAGCATAGTTGATGGCAGGGTTATCTCCATATGTTCATGTGAGCTAAAGGTGGACTGCTGTGGTACCATACCCCACTCAGGGCTCAGGGCTGGTCCTGAGTCTTACTTCCTTCTGGCTGCTGTGACAAAGTATCACAGGCTGAGAGACTTAATACAATTCTGACAGTGCTGGAGGCTCAAATCAACATGTTGTTACAATCATGCTGTCTGAGGTCTCAGGGTGAATCCTCCCTTGCTGCTTTCAGCTTCCTGCTTCTACCTTCTGGTAGTTGTTGGCAGTCCTTGGCACTCCTTAGCTTGTGACAGCATAACTCTATTTCCTGTCTGCCTTCTTTGCTGTGTATATGTATTCAATATGAACTCATTTTGGTCATATCAGCAAACACCTTAATTTTCAAATAAGGTCACATTCACAGGAAGCAGGGGTTATGGCTTTAACATTTGCTTTGAAAGACACAGTATAATCCACAATATCTGTAAACCAGTGAGAGAAAAATTCTTCCACTGAGCATGGCTTTAGATAGTACACTTGACTATCTACTTAGGATATGGAAATAGAAGTGGTTCAAGCCAGGGATAAAAAGAGGTCCTGTGCAGAATAGATAATTTGGTTGGACAAGGATCCAGAAGAACTAAGATTGGAAAATCAGAGATAAAAACATATTAGTGGACCATCACCGTTGTACAATGAGGGTTACAAAAACTTGGCCCTTTTGTCTGTTTAGCAACAATTTTCAATGGCCCACTCCACTCAAATCATAGAGAGCAGAGTGAGTTGGGAGAAAAATGCACTAATTAGGGATGGTTTTTGAAGTAAAGCATGTAGGAATTGCTCAGACTTAACCTCTGCATGAACAAAAGGCACAGTGTAAGTATTTAATGAATTACATGGCTGAATAAATGACTACTAGGTTTTGGCTCTTGCTATTAGACAGATTGTGGTACCATTTGCTGAACTAGGGAAGATTTCAGGGAGAAATTTCTTTAGTGCTGTATGCTGTAGTCATCTTTCTGCAGTTTCATTTAGCCCTCAATATCTTCCTAGGCAAAGCAGGTATGAACTAAAACATGGCAGATACAACCCTCAACCAGTGGGAGGGGTGCACGAGACCAGAGGAGTAGATGTCTCAGTATCTGTCAACCAGTGGAATGATTCTGCAGAGTGTTTCACTGTCTCACACAATCCCCAGTGGGACAGAGTTCTATTTGAGCAAAATAGTTAACTGGTTTATCAATATATCCTTTACTGTCTTTATAACTTCATCTTACTTTAACTCAAATCCTTATTTGTGCTTCCTGGGATACCTTCCCATGGAAATTTGTTTTTGGATGGTTTGGTTTCAGACGACACACAATCTAAGATAAATAATATTGATGATAATATCAGGCTCTGGGTCTACAGATAACTTTTACTTTTTACTCCCTTTTCTCTTCATCAAAGTTCTTCCTATTGTCTAAAACCCAGTGCAAATGTCATCTCCTTCAAAAAGCTTTTTCTAGGCCAGGGATTTAGCTCAGTGGTTCTGGCACCTACCTTGGAAGCACAGGACCTGAGTTCAGTCCCTGGTACCAAAAAAAGAAACCTTTTTACTTATCACATCTTTCAAAGGGATCAAATTCTCTCTATTTTCCTTTGCAAGATGCTATCTCTCCAGCATTTTGGAGTTAGTTTTGCACTTGGCTCTACCGTGCTTGTTCAGGATACCTACCTTGGCCTGAAGAGCCTTTCAATGTGCACCTCTAATCCTCAAAGTAAACACATTCTCTCTCGCTCTGGATTTGTTTCCTTTAGGATTGGTATGAGTAGGACATTTTGCTTCTTTGGGCTAGGAATGGATGTTTGAATTTGAATGTGGAAGAAAGAGGCCACGTGGGTCTATAATTTGTGCAAAAAGTCAACATAAACCAGCTTATTTGAAATTTTCTCTGGGTTCAAATACTACAAATAATGACCACAAGCCATACAGTTTTGCCACTTTTGCCTATCAAGGTAAAAAGATTTGATTGAGACTCCTCTTCCCTGTGTGTCCCAAAAGGGATATATACAACCCCAATGTACATGACCTTGCCTACCTGTCACCTTTGGAGGTTAAGACTTCCAAATCTAAATCTTATAATCTTGTAACTTTCTTTTAAGTGGCATAAAATAGGAGACTGTAAAGGTGAACCCTATAAAGCACATATAAAAAAAGATGAAAGAATTTGGATGTGCAGATCTTGTTATATGGGCATGGACCCTAAGTCAGCTGTAAAAAGAGAAGAAAGTGATAACGACATGTGCCAAGAGGGCTTTTCCCAATGGTCTTCTTACTATCAAAACATGGCAGAATAGGGAAGCACCCACAAAGCATGACCACAGGACCTTGTAATACACACTCACAAGAGTTTATCAATCAAAACGACCCACTCATAGTCCTAGACTCTATCTGATTAATAATCCTCTATTTTAGAAAAATTGCAAAAAAAAAAAAAAGATGAAAATGAAGAACAGACAGTTAAAGCACCTGCCTCTCAGACTATAATCTGCTTTCTTTGTATTCTTCATTGTGCTAGAGATGGGGAAGAAATAAGTAAAATTCTCTGGAAAATAATACTTATACTTATTGAAGCTTTCAATGTGCTATGTATTATTTTAAGTGTTTTACACACATTAGTTAGTGACTTTAATCCTCCCAACAATCCTATAAGAAATCTATTATTAACATCATCATTTTACAAATGAGGGAACTGGGACTCAGTAAGCTCAAGCTACTCTCCTAAACATTTAGAGCTAAAACGTGGCAGATGTAGATTGAATATTCATCCTGCAGTATCTGAAAAAAATGTAGAATACTAGAAAGGAAGAGAGAATGACTGGGAGGGTCAGTGAACAACACGGGGGATGTACAGTCAAGGGGTGTGCGTGTGTGTGTGTGTGTGTGTGTGTGTGTGTGTGTGTGTGAGTGTGTGTGCCTTCGGAGACTTTTTAGTAATTGATGGGTAATTCTAGAGCCAAGCTAAGTAAGTGTGAAGTTTATAAGACAACAGGTAGTCAGGAAAGGAAGATTGGGGGAAGGTTGGGAGAAGAGAAAACGATTAGAGACACAGCAGGCCTAAGCCTTTTAAAGACTTTCCAACTGATTAAATCAGGAAACCAGGAAAATCTCCATTTTTATTAAAGTAAATTCAACTGATAAGGAACTTAATCACATCTCTTCACACTACACCTAGGTCAGTGTCTGAATGAGAAACTGAACGTGTATATCAACTACCATATTGCCATCCTTCAACTCTCCCAGGCGAATATTTCTGAAGGCTATTGCTCAATCTAGCCAGCTGACAAGCACAGGAGCATCACAGGAGGCAAGAAGATTCTAAAAGCGATGGAACAGGGATTAAACAGGAGATAACCATGACAACACCAAGGCAAGAACATGGAAGAAACAGAAAACTTCTGGCTTCTTTAGGAAGGGTAAGATGAGAATGCAGTCCTAAAACCCTCTTGGGATTTCAGGCAAGACATCAATAACTATAAAATCATCACAAACAGAGAGTAAGTACTGAATCATTATTCTTAGGAGATAATTCAAGATGAGGTTCCTATGAGTCCCTGGTTCTAACATTTTCATCAACCACCAGCGTACAACCTTTTGTTATGTTATGTTTTCTCCTAAAGATTCCTTATTCTGTATGTGCTGTTCATTGTTCCTTTACCAACTGTGATCCTGTGGCCAACAGCACAATCATTCATATCTGAACAGGGCTTCCTCAACACGTGTTCCCTCTATAAGGCACATCCCAACATTCTTGTGATTGTGAACACTGGGCAGCACTTCAGCACTGCATTTGAGAGTCATTTTAAATAACAAAATCATGAGCAAAAAAAAAAAATGCAAAAACACCAACTAAATGGACCACAAGAAGAGCCGGGCGTGATGGCACATGCCTGTAATTCCAGCACTTGGGAGGCTGAGGCAGGAGGATCACTGTGAGTTCGAGACCAGCCTGGGATACATAGTGAGCTCCAGGTCAGTCTCAACTACATAGTGAGACCCTGTCTCAAAAAACCAAAAAAAAAAAAAATAATAATAATAATAATAACCTTTTTAGCCTCAGCTGAGAATGTGCATGTCACGTGACTCAAACTGCTCACTATTCTGTGTATGTCACGAAAGACTGTGAACCCCAAGTATTAATTTGGGGGCTACAGATAAATTTTATCAAGTACATGAATTTGCAAATTTTAAAATATTGAAAATAATTGGAATCAAATGCATGTGTGAAAACTTACCTTTAGACTAATGTAAACAGCTGGAGAGTCCCAGGAATGGACGCTGAGTTTACCTAGATAGAATTATGGTTAGAATTAGATCTACAGTGGTAAGATTGAGCAAGCAATCTATTATCCACGCTGTTCTGGTTTCAGGGCATCCTGACATTGAAACTCCTTGGCTGAAAGTATGCTAATTTAAGAGTATTTATAGTTTTCAATGAACTACGGGGCTATTGTATTTTTGAGTTTGGGGTTACGATTCATTTTGCTTCTGATTTTGTTTACCCTATCTACTTAAAGTTTCTCACTGTGGCTGGACATGTGACAAGTACTTGGTTGTCCTGTTCTCATGAATTCCTTCTAGACAGGCAGTAAGACTCAGTCCTGCACAGGGAAAGGTAATGGTGAAAACCACCCTTTGGTTGACAGATCTCTAACTGTATCAGCCCTGACTTCAAGTAGGCCCCCATGCTACATCCTAATTCTAATTCTCAAATCATTTTGTTGTCCTTTCCTAGACAACTATTTCATACCTTTACCTTGCTCTTGAAACCTCAGATCTCTATTCAGCCAATTTGTGTTGTTATGACTGCTTGTAATAAGAGATCATCGTGATTATTAGTGACTGAACTAGAACACTACATTTCTCATTCTCAATTTCTGTTGGGTCTAGTTCCTATGTTACTGAGAAAAGAGAATTAATTAGAATAGAATTTCTATACTCTCCCAACATACATCTACTCATTTCCTGCATCTGAATTCATATCCTTGCTCTCCCTTCTATTAAAATTAAAGAACTATCTGTGCTTTATCCACATCCAGCTTCTCGCTTTGATCCCAGGACCCCATCTCGTCTCATGTACTCAAGAACATCATTCCAGCAATTATTCTTTCTTGCTTCATCATCAAATTTTACTTCTCTCCTGAACCATTTCCCCTAAACACCATATTTTTATTTCTCACAATTTAAAAGCAAAACATTAAACAATCACTTGACCTTATAATTCTCTCTGCTTACCACCTGATCCTCTGTTACTCTTTTTTATGAAAGACTTAGTTAGTATCCTTCAATTCATCTCCCTTAATTCTTCATAACATGTCCACTAGGGAAGCTTCCATTTCCATCACTTGCCCAAAATAGCTCCTACTAAGAAATCAACCTACAAATTCAGTGACTGTCAACTTACTTGGATCACTTGATGGTATGAACACTTTCCTCTGGATACATCCTGCGCCTCTGGATCATTGCTCCCTGGATTCGCTCCCGTCTTTCTTTGATGATCCTCCTATGTGCTCGATCTCTTAACAGTAGGATGTCTTATAACTCAATTTTTTCCTTCCCCTTTATACAACCACCTTGCCTTATCTTTTCTCTTCTCATTATCTCATCATATCTGCTCTCTTCACCTTAAATGCCTTCTTTATGGATATGAGATTCCTTCAATTTGGATGTATAGGCTACAATCCAGAATCCAGAATCACACATCCCGCTGCCTGTCTTATTGCTTTCTGATGATATCTCAAAGTCCCAATATGAACTTCTGCATTACCTTATAAACTTACTCTTCTCTTTATACCTCAACAAATTGCAGCGAATCCATTAGCAAATTCCCACTACTCTTCTACAAAAGCCACATGCGCAGTATCCTCATTAATTCTGTTGCCGCATTTATCTCCACTCTATAACATCATGCTCTCTCCTCCCCCAACTATTCCACAGATTCTGTTCTCACTGCCTCTTCCCTTCACTTCAGGTAAAGTATAATCAGTACCCCAGAGTTACTGTCCTACATCATCACCCTGTGACCCATGCATGTATACAGGACTCCAAAGAATTTAATGCTCAGTTTAAATGCTCCTTTCTTGCCATCTCCAAATTGTTCATAATTTTTTAACAGTCTCACATTTCCAGTTTGTACTGGCTGCTTCAAATTATCTTGCCATTCATGAATGTACTTAATTGAGCCTTGTAAATCATAAACCAGATCACACCACTTCTCTGCTCAAAAGTCTAAAAAGCTTGCAGTCCGTTCTGAATAAAACGCAGAAGCCCTGCGGTGGGCTCAGGGGCTCACACAGTGCTGCCTCCATCCTTCACCATTCTCATCTTGTATTCCAACCCTGCCTTGGCGCACGATTCGGTGTTTCTCAAACGCAGTGACACTTCCAACCACGCCTCTTCCTCTGACTGATGCACACTTGCTTGAACACTGGATGAATTGATTTCTTGCTTTCTTTAAGCCACATTAAAAGTGGGCTCTTCCCTTATCACTAAATACAAGAGAATCCCATCTCCCCCCTTCCCTAAACACATTACCCTGCTTTATGTTTGTTTTTCCCATGGACCTGATCACAGGCTGACATCCACATTTTCATAATTTTTTATGGCATTGGGGATTAAACTCAGCCTTTGTGAGCATCAGGCAAGCACTCTGCTACTGAGCTATATCCCTAGCCATTTAAAAAAATTTTTAAATCTATTTATGGCTTTAATTTTAAGACAAGGTCACACCAAGTTGCCTATGCTACCCTCAGACTTCTGATCCTCCTGCCTCAACCTCCCAAGTGGCTGGGGTTACTGGTGTGCCATAGTGCCTGGGTTAATTAATTCTTAATATGTATTTTTCCAACTTCTCCCCTCCACCTCTAAAATTTAAACTCCTTACTACCAGGGATTTTTTGCTGCTCATCATAATCTTCCTATCACATGGAACATTTTATTGTGTTTATTGCATGGATGAATGTAATCATCACACTGACCAACACTCATCACTACTTCCATGTCTAAGTTCTATGTGCAAAGGCAAGCTCATGGCAGGTGAAACTGCTGCCATTCCTCTGCTGTCAGAGAGCGGGTCCCAAGCAAACAAAGAAGTGGCTCTAGCATAACTGAAGTCACAGCCATTCATTTGATAATTAACTTTCTGTTTCTTTGACACCATACTACCATCTCATACCAATCTTTAACCCTTTCACCAGTTTAGCACTTTCACATATGGAAATGTTGTTTCTTCGATTCTAAGAGTTTCCTTGTGCATAGAAAATTCTTTCTTGTGACTCATCAGAGGGAAGAGTACACAAGAGGAATCATTGGGCCAAGAGGAATCATTCTATCAATATATCCTAGTAACAATGACTGTTACCATAAAGACAAAAACGTGTGCTGTGAGGACATGGAGAAGGGGGACTCTCCTACACCACTGGTAAGAACATGCATTAGTACAACCATTATTAAAAAAACTGTGGAATTTCCTCAAAACACTAGACGTAAAACTAACACATTCTGAGTATGTTGCTCCAGGCTCAGTAAGGCCCACTCCTCAGGGTTCCATGACACACAGTCCGAATGACAATAGTGATTTCCTTCTCTGGCTTGTTTACTTCACTATAAACTTCTAAAGGGGAATTTTTTTGTCAAGAAATAATTGTTCCTATTTGTGGAATGCAGTACAAAAATTTGATCAAATAGAATGCATAATAATGAAATCAGGGCAATAAGCATTTCCACCTCCTTACAATGTTAACATTTCTTTGTGCTGGGAAATTTCAAATTTCTCTTGCTCTTCATAAAATATATAATAAATTGTTGTGATCTATAGTCACCCTACAAAGTTATTTCTCCTGTGAAATTGTTATCCACCCTTCCTCTATCACACAGCTGCATAATTTTCCTAACCTCCAGTGACTACTCTTCCATTCTTTGCATTTATAATAATGAAATTTTTAACTTCCACATATAAGCAAGGTCATGTGTCATTTCCTTCTGTGCCTGGCTTATTTTACTAAGGGTAATGTCCTCCAGTTCATCCATGTTGCCACAAATGACATGATTTCATTCTTTTTATAGCTAAATAATATTCCATTGTGAATAGACCACAGTTTAATTTACCCATTCATATTTGCTGGACACCTCTTTGATTCCATATCATGACTACTGTGAGCACTGCTGTAATAAACAGGAATATGTCTCTTTGATATACTTATTTCATTTCCTTTGGATATATAACCAGTAATGGATTGCTGGATTATGTGTTATTTCTATTTCTAGTTTTTTGAGGAAATTCCACACAGGGTTTTTGTTTGTTTGTTTGTTTTTGCTTTTGTTTTATAATAGCTGTACTAATTTACATTCTCACCAACATATACTTGTTGACCATTTGTATATCCTCTTTTCAGAAATGTTTATTCAAATTATTTAATTGCATTATTGCTTTACTTTGAGTTTTCAAAATTTATTTTATATTCTATGTGTTAATCCCTTGTAGTTTGCAAATATTTTCTCCCATTCTACAGTTTGCCTCTTCTATCTATTGTTTTCTTTGCTATACAAAAGCTTCATAGTTTGATATAATCCTGTCTTTGCTTTTGTTTCCTGTGTTTTTGAGAGCTTAACAAAAAAATTATTGCCTATGCCAGTGTCTTGAAGAATTTTTCCCTATTATTTCTTCTAGTAGTTTTATAGTTTCAGGCTTACATTGAGGCATTTGAATAATTTTGAGGTGATTTTGTATATGGTTTAAAACTCAAATCTTTTGCATATTGATATACAGTTTTCATGGCACCAAATATTGAAAAGACTCTCCTTTCTTCAATGTATTTTTATGGATTATTTGTCCAAAATCAGCTGGTTGTAGATATATGGGTTTATTTGTGGTTTCACTATTCTGTTCCATTTGTCTATGCATTAGTTTTTATGTCAGTACCATGCTGTTTTGATTACTACAGTTTTGTAAAATGTTTTGAGGTCAGACATTGCGAGGCCTCCAGATTTAGTTGGCTGTTTGTCCTTTCTCTCTATCATGCTATTCAGATTCATTTGTGTTCTCATATGAATTTTAGGAATGTTTACCTTATTTCTTTGAAAAAACAGCATAAGTTTTCCATAGTTTTTAGAAGCATGTGAAACAGTGGAAGAAAGAACAATATACACCTTTATTATTTTGTTTGTTTGTTTGGTCTTTTTTTGAGACAGGATGTCACTATGTAGTTGAGACTGACCTGGAACTCATTATGTAGCCCAGGTTGGTCTTGAACTCACAGTGATCCTTCTGCCTCAGTCACCCAAATTCTGGGATTACAGGCATGTGCCACCACACCCAGCTTACACCTTTACAATGCACAGAGGCAATGCCTTTTTGGCTCACACATAAACAAATTAAAAGTGATTTGAAAGTGATTTACAAATTGAGAAAACTCTGAGAGGATATGCATTCGACATGTTAATACTGATTATAAGAGGGGGAAAAAAAATAGTGGAAAGGAGAGTGCCAGCAACATAGCTTCTCCAGGAAAAAAGCATCCAGAGTCTGGAAAACAGTAGCTTGGAGAGGAATCAAAGTGAGAGGAGGTTACCTGGGAATCAGGGGGGATCTCACAAAGGAGAATTTATGGGATCCAGTGATGCAGAAATAAAACAAATCAGTGAGGAGACAGAAGAATCACTGCAGACTGCACCAGCACCAAAAGAGACTGTCCAGCCACCAGTCAAGAGGCAAAGTGAAACAAAAACTATTTTTGCACTGAGACCAAGAGAGTCAACCACAGTTGGAACAAGCAAAGAAAACACAAGATCCTCCTTTTAGAATGGTCTTTCATAGTAAATGATTTGTGAGTAACCTTTGTCCAGTGTGTGCTGCCACTGTCACAGAACAGGAGATGGTGGGACACTGTTGTAGGAAAGGTGTGTGTGTTTGAAACAGGATCTCAGAGTAACCCTATGGCTCCAAGCCTAACTCCACACTGTCAAGTTTCAAGAGGAGATGAGGGAAGGACAGACATAGGAGACAGCTAACAGTTGGACACCAAGCTGGAGAGACTGGAGGTGGTGAATACAGACACACCTTGAGTGGTCAAAGGTCAGGTGGAACCTGAATTACACAAGATTGGAAGGTCACACTGGTGCCCTATTGCACTGTATGCAGATATTTGCACCCAAGACCATTCTAGGGTTAGACTGCTTCCTTAGACTTCCAGTGCAAAAAGAGATACATCCTAGTTTGAGCTCTGCTTCTTAAAACTGGACTGAGGAAAAGAGCCACATGTCCAAAATAATAGAAAACTTTCTTTCATTGTTTTTTACTTTATTGTTTTTTTCTGTTTTCCTCCTCCTGTTCATTTTCCCCTGATTTTATCACATTATTTCCCTCTTTTTCTTTTCTTTTTTAAATTTTTATTGGTATTTTCGGTATAAAATAGTTACATTCATTAATTGAGATCTTGTACCTTCACATGACATATATTAGTTTTTATTTTTTCTCCATACCCCTACCCTTCATTCCCTCTTCAACCTTCCCTATTTACAAAGACTTTGTTTCATCTTTCATTTTCTCTAATTTTTTTCTTCTTCTTGTCTTTCCCCTACCACTCCGACTTCCCCTAAACCTTTATACATTTTCTTCCTTTTATACAATATCAAATATATATTTTAATCCTTATTTACACTTTTATTTTATTAAACCAGAGAAACTATTTTGTATTTACATGTTTGTCCTAATAATTTCACTTAAGAATATATGCTAAGTGTGCATCCACTTAGACATAAATGTCTCTAGTTTACCATACTTTATAGCTGAGTAGTACTCCGTTTTATAAAAAAACAAACAAATGCATCTTCTTTATCCATTCTCTAGTTGATGGACAATTAGGCTGTTTCCAAGTTTTAGCTATTAAAAATTATGCTGTTACAAACATGAGTGAGTATATATCTCTGTAATATGATTCTTTTAATTCTTTTGGGAAGATAACCAGCAGGGGAATAGCTGGGTAAAATGGGACTTCTAAACCTAGTTGTTTGAGGTGTCTCCATATTGATTTTCACAGTGGTTGCACCAGTCTGCACTCCCACCAACAATGGAGAAGGGTTCCTTTCTTCCTCACAACCCTGCCAACATTTATTATTTCTTGATTTCATGATAGCAGCCATTTTGGGGGGAGTGAGGTAGAATCTAAATGTTGCTTTCATCTCCATCACTCAAATGACCAGAGATATTGCACATTTTTCTTTGCCATATCATGCTGTTTTTATCACAGTGTTATTGTACTATAGTTTCAAATTGGGGATTGTGATACCCCCTGCCATGTCTCTGTTACCTAGAATGATTTTTGCTATTCTAGGTCTCCTCTGCTTCCAAATGAATTTTGGACTGTTTTCTCTAATTCTGTGAAATATATGGTTGGGCTAGTAATAGGGATTGCATTAAATCTGTATAGCAGTTTTGGAAGTATGGTCATTTTCACTATATTGGTTGTTCCTACGCAGGAACAAGGGATGTCTTTCCATTTTCCTATATCCTCTTTGATCTCCTTTTTCAGAGTGTTGTAGTTCTCAATGTAGAGGTCTTTTGCTTCCATTGTTAGACTGATTCCTAGATATTTCATTTTTTGGATACTACTGTGAAAGGGATTGTTTCTCTAATGTATCTCTCAGTGATTCTTTGCTTTGTGTACAAGAAAAGTATTGATTTTTGAGTGTTGATTTTGTATCCAGCTACTCCACTGAATCTGTTAATTAACTCTAGAAGTATTTTGACAGAGTTTTTGGGTCTTCTATGTAGAGTATCACATCATCGGCAAATAATGACAGTTTAATTTCTTCCTTTCCTATCTTTATTGCATTCATTTCTTTCTCTTGTCTAATTGCTGTGGCTAATGTTTCCACATCTATATTGAACAGGAGTAGAGACAGTGGACATCCTCATCTTGTTCCTGATTTTAGTGTGAAGGCTCTTGGATCTTGATCATTTAGCATGATGTTGGCTGTTGGTTTTTCATAGATAGCCTTTATCAGATTGAGATAAAGAGCATCTATTCTTATTTTCTGCAGGGTTTTTATCATGAATGGGTGTTGAATTTTGTCAAATGCTTTTTCTGCATCTATTGAGATGATCATAAGGTTTTTGTCCTTGACTCTGTTAATATAATGTATTACATTTATTGATTTACGTATGTTGAACTGTCATGGCACCCCTGGGATAAATCAACTTGATCAGGGTGTATGATCTTCTTGAGGACCCTCTGTATTCTATTTGCCAGTAACTTATTGAGGATTTTTTCATCTGCATTCATTAGAGAAATTGACCTGTATTTTTCCTTTTTGGTTGGGTCTTTCCCTGGTTTTGGAATTAAAGTAACACTTGCTTCTTGGAATGAATTTGAAAGTACTGTATCCCTCTTTAATTCATTGAAAAGTTTCAAAAGTAGTTGC